CACAGCGCCCCTAGAGGACAGAGTGGAACTGCCCCACAGGGTCTCCAAGGCTGTCAGTCTTCACAGAAGCAAAGCCCAAACCACACCCACTACCGTGGAGTCCATTCTGACTCACAGCGCCCCTAGAGGACAGCGTGGGACTGCACCACAGGGTTTCCAAGGCTGTCATCTTTATGGAAGCAAAGCCCAAACCACACCCACTGCCATGGAGTCCATTCTGACCCACAGCGCCCTTAGAGGACAGAGTGGAACTGCCCCACAGGGTTTCCCAGGCTGTCAGTCTTCACAGAAGCAAAGCCCAAACCACACCCACCGCCATGGAGTCCATTCTGACCCACAGCGCCCCTAGAGGACAGAGTGGAACTGCCACACAGGGTTTCCCAGGCTGTCAGTCTTCACAGAAGCAAAGCCCAAACCACACCCACTGCCATGGAGTCCATTCTGACCCACAGCGCCCCTAGAGGATAGAGTGGAACTGCCCCACAGGGTTTCCCAGGCTGTCAGTCTTCACAGAAGCAAAGCCCAAACCAAACCCACTGCCATGGAGTCCATTCTGACCCACAGCGCCCCTAGAGGACAGAGTGGAACTGCCCCACAGGGTCTCCAAGGCTGTCATCTTTATGGAAGCAAAGCCCAAACCAAACCCACTGCCGTGGAGTCGATTCTGACTCACAGCGTCCCTAGAGGACAGAGTGGAACTGCCCCACAGGGTCTCCAAGGCTGTCATCTTTATGGAAGCAAAGCCCAAACCACACCCACTGCCGTGGAGTTGATTCTGACCCACAGCGCCCCTAGAGGACAGAGAGGAACTGCACCACAGGGTTTCCAAGGCTGTCAATCTTTACAGAAGCAAAGCCCAAACCAAACCCGCTGCCGTGGTGTCAATTCCAATTCACAGCGCCCTAGAGGACAGAGTGCAACTGCCCCAGAATTTCTAAGGCAGTCAATTTTGGGGGAAGCTGACTGCCTCATGTTTAGCCCATGGAGCAGCTGGTGGGTTCGAACTGCTGACCTTTTGTTTAGCAGCTGAATGCTTCCACCACCATGCCACCAGAGCTCTTTGGTGCACATACAGATGGACTGACTTCCAGTCGAATCAAGCGCTCTTTGGGGTAGACCCATCTAGGTCTGAATTTGAGATAGAGGACAATGGGACGGAAGGCAGTCTTTTGTGTTCTGTTTCTGGCCGACTCCACCCCATCCCAACCTACTACATGGCCTTGAAGAGCACAGCCACCGAGCCCCCCAATGCCCACAGCACGGTGGTGTGTGTGTGTGGGTGCTGGAGATCCTACCTTGGAGACACGGGCAGGAAGACACTGGGCTCGCTGAGTCCGGGGCAGGGGTCCTGTTTACAGCAAGTGGATATCACAGTCAGTCCACGCGTTAATTTTAATATGCTTTAGAAGTAAACACAAATATGCAACACAGAGTGTGGGAGTGGGAAAAGGAGAGGTGTGACTTCGCGTGATAACATCACGCGCCTGCCCTCTAGCTCCCCCACCCTGCCCAGCGTCCGCCCAGAGCCGAGTCCCAGCACATGGTGAGCAGGGGGCCGGGCTGGGGCACAGACACTTCTCCCAAGTGACAGGAAGAGATGGTGATGTTTGGTGGGCATGGCTGAGGCAGGCGGGGCCTGTGGCACGTTGGCGGAGGCAGACAAGAAGACTTCCATGTTGCGAGAGGTCCGGTTCGTAAAGACGCGTGGTTGGAAGTGGCCGCGAGGGGGCGTAGCAGCCGCTGCCCTATGTATCCCGAGAGGTCAGGAGGCATCCGTGATGAAAGTCCATGATGGGGAAGAGGAAGCCAGGGCAATGTGGAAAACCACTCAAGTACCAAGGTCAGGGCTAGTTAGGGCAAAGTTCAAGTCCACCTCAGGAGTCCTAACGCTGCTACGACATTTCGACCACAGGCGCGATGTCCTAACCTAACAGCGGAGTCTGTATTGCTGTGTCACTGCACTTTGAAGGGCACATCTAGAATGGGGCTGGGCATGTGTCTGCAAGCCATGCCTGCCCAGGGAATAAATAAATACGTCTGTCAACAGGGCCAGTCATGGGGCGTGCTCTAGTCTAACTCAACGCCTACCTTGAGGTCACAGCATCGTGCAGAGGGTGCCACTAAAGGAAACAGGAAATGTCTTCCGTGTGTAATTACTGTGTAGGTCCTGGGATGGGCAGAAGTCCCCTGGAAGGTTTGCAGTACATAGGGTGTACCTGAGGCCCGCCAGCCCAACTTTGAAGCATGCTAGGGGCACACCACCAGGCTCTGGGGTAGGACACGTGTGCACCATGTAGGTGGGCCAACCCCCTTCAGTGGGCCATTTCTTCACAGCTTTGGCCACACAGGATTCCTGCCTGGCTCTTCTTGCCTCAGGCATGCGCAAAGACAGGTGTGTGCTTAGAACGCTTTTTTCGGGGTCTTGGGGAGAAAAGTGCAGGGTCTTTGTCACACACAGGAAACAGGAACAAGGCATCATATCAACACCATTTCAACTGTTAAAACTACTCTTTCTCTTGTGTGTCATGCTCCTAGTCTTGTACAGCACTACGTGAACACCTCTCACATTCTAACGCTACCGTATCAGAGCTGAGCACCAGCCCAGAAGCCTGGGATGCTGGCTGGCTGCTTCACTGGCCTCCTCTGGGAGGCCCTGCTGGGCCCCAGATGGGGACCCCTATTCGTAAGGGGCTTTGCACGATCATCTGGGATGTTGCATGATGACCTAACAGAGCTCAGAATTCGGTCTTCTCAAAGCCCCTGTGGGAACCCCGGAGGCACCTCCATGTGCACTGATGGGGACTGAGTTATAGAAGCAAACTGATGGGGGGCGCTGCCTATGAGGTGGGGCCTGACCAAGGGTCCCATCTTGGTGGAGTGACCACTTACAATATCACCTCGGAGCACACCAAGTGGAATGCTTTCCTACTCTGTGCCCCATCCAAATATGGACCCTGACAATGCGGTCGTTGCCAAGGTCATACCCACCCTCAGCCTAGAAGGTCATGGTCCTCCATGTGTTTCCCGAGGAGGCAACAGCTTAATGACGGATTCCAAGATGCCATTTAGGAGAAAAGCAAAACTTGTGTTGAATTGACTACAGATGAGTCACTCCCTGTCAATGACTCCTATCCTCAGAACACTAAGTCCCTCCGGGGTCCCCAACTCATGACAGGAGTGTTCGTAATTCAAACCTGCAGATGAAATGACAGCGAGCTTACATCACGTTGACTACAAAGCCGACTGTTCCAAAGGCAGTGACCATTTCACGAATCGCTGGTGTGCGTGTTAAGAGTCCCATGTGGCGGTAGTTTGCAAGGCGCTTCTTCTCTGTATTTTTTTTTTTTTTTTCAATTTTGGGTAGAAATATTCCTGGGAAGCTGGATAGAAATGCATTTTCATTTCCCAATGATTTTGAGGCACGAGTTACAAAACTGCTGACCATCATTAAAATATGCCAGCACTTCTTGTTATAAAAAAATGCAATGGCTGCCTGTGTGTGCACGTGTCCAAATGCACACACATTGTGACGCAGCGCACAAGGATTCGCCCAGGTAGATTCTGCATGGAGCTATCTGTAACTAACCTGAAATTCTGCAGTGGAAGTTCCTCGCTAATGAGCAAGTGGTTGTCGTAGTTGTGTTTCTTTAGGCTCCAACTCTGGTCACACGTCTGCACATTGCACTATGCCTACATGTGTGCCAACACCAAGACAGTCGTACCCGGGAATTGGAAGAGGGCTCTGCTAGGACCCAGTTATGCTGTTATTGAGCAAGCGTGCAGGACCCGCGCTGGGCCACCAGCTAATCTGGCTAATTCTCTCTTGGGATGGAAGCGCTCAGTGGACGGAGAAGCCAGCCGGGTACTGCAGGCTGCATGGGAGCGTCATCTGGGTGTCATGCTGACTCTGGCAGGAGACGGGGGACCAGAGGAGGAGCAACGGTAAATGGGGGACGTGGGAGACAGTTTGACTGGGCTTGTCGGGTCCCCAGTTTGGAGTTTCCAAAGCAGCTCTTCGTTGGTTCGGCTTAACCTCTTCTTTTCCTGGGTTTCCTTCTCCACGTATTCCTGAAGATTCGCGTTCTCCTCTGACAGCTGTCTGCAAGGGGAGGAAGACGCATCAGCAGAGGGCGCTCATGAACTTGGGATTCGTCAAGCCAGTGGGTGCTGGGCAAAGGGAGACAGGGACAAGCCAGACCCACAGTAACCAAGAAGCTCAGAGGAAACACAGTTTGCCCGTGTCCCATTGCCACATCCATTCCGGATCCTCTCCACCCAAACCTAGCCAGGTCACAGTGCCTCTGCCCGGGACATGGGAGGAGCTAGTTGTCCTCCAGGGACCAGGGCTAAAGAGGAGAAGGGGCGGTGGAGAGCAGGCCTGAGTGCAGCAGGGAAGGGCAGGCATGCGTAGTCAGCCACCAGCAATCCTGACAGCTTGGAGGAGGCCACTGCGCAGAGCCTCTCTGATGCACCAAGCTGCCTGAGAATGCCTGCACCTGCCTCGCAGCACCCATGTGGCAGCCCCTGCCTCTGCTACAGATTGGCTAACCATCTGCGGGCTTGGAGGACAAACACCAAGCCTTCCCATCAGTGAACCCAGTGTCCAGCCTGGCGCTTGGCCTGCAGGAGATGTTCACTTAATGCTCATTGAGAAAGGACGCTGAGTGGAAAACACATCCATGCTTTTGTGCCCTCTGTTACAAAGCCCTCAAGGAGCCCTGGTGGCACAGTGGTTACACGCTCAGATAACTGATAGGCTGGCAGTTCGAACCCACTAGCCGCTCCACGGGAGAAAGCTTACAGCCTGGGAAACCCTGTGGGGAAGTCCTACTCTATCCTATAGGGTTGCTGTGAGTTGGAATCGACTCAATGCCAGTGGGACTGGTTTGTCGTGAGCCCAAGTTGCTTTCATTGTGGCAACTTTTGGAACTGACAGCCCCTCTGAGGAATCGATGAGGAGAAGAACACGTGCACTGCCCACTGGATGGGTTGAGGCCCAGAGAGTCATCCTCCTGGGGCAATGCCTCCACCGCTCTCAAGAGCGTCCGTGCAGGTTTCTGGGTGTGGGGCCTTGTTGCTCGGGTTGGCAGGGGCTTGCTCTCACCCTGAGGATGGGCCTGCTTCCGCGACTTTAGGGGGACCAGGGGCAGAACTTGCTAGTCTCCAGCACAGTCTCCCCTGTGTGTCTCTGGGGAACAACTGAAGGCAGGTATATGGAGCTCAGCTAGGGTGGCACTGGCTGTGTGTCTGTGTGTGCGCACAGAGTGACCAACTCGAACACGCTGGGAGGCACGGTCCCGTTGCAGGCTCAGAGCTAAGAGCCGAGGGCCAGCCCTCAGGGACAAAATACCCGAAAGTCAAATGCCTCGCTGTTCCTCAACTCTGAGCAGTAAAAGGGAGATGTTTCCTTCTCCTTCTTTGGAGGGCAGGACAGGGTCCTGGGAAGGTAGGACCCAAGACGCACAAGATATAGTTCTGGATGCTGGCTGGGTGTGTGCGGCAAAGAACCAAGTTTGTTTTTTCTGTCTCTGGTTTTTTAAAACAGCCTGAGCAATTGAGATGCTCCCTGTCTTTCTGGGAGCTCTGGTGGTGCAGTGGGTCCTTACCCATTTGGCTGCTCACCAGAAGACGGCTGCTTCAAACCCACCAGCTGCTTTGCAGGAGGAAGATGGGGCAATCTACCTTTTTACAGCCTTGGAAACCGTCCTGGTTCCCTGGTGCCGCTCTGACAAGAATATACCACAAATGGGATGGCCTTAACAAACAGGAGTTTATTCTTACAATTTGGAGGCTTTAAGTCCAAGTTCAAAGTGCCAGGCTCTAGGGGCTGGGTGAAAGCCCCTCAACCTTGGGGTCCAGCTCTGCCTCCTGCTCCCGGCCCACTGGAGCTAGAGGCGTTTCTTCACTCAGACAGCTGCTGGCTGCTGAGGCTGAGAAGCCCAAGTTTGACAAGTAAAACGGCACAGTCCCGATGTTACCAAACCACACGGCAGGCCATTAACTTAAGTCCGTTGAAAGTCCCAAGGTCGGCAGAGCATGGCAGGCTGCTGAGCAACGACACGGCTCCATGCAGGGTCCAAGCGTGCCACAGGCTAGAGACCATTCCCAAGGCTTCTCCTTATACACAGGAAGCAGACCACATCCCAAAGGCAGCTACTCAGCTGCTTGTGGTAGATCCCACCATGGAGCTGATTGCCAGTCTCCTAATGGGGAATAACTACCACCAGCTGCCCAGCTGCTCAGCCAGGCCCAGCCACGTTGACACACAAACATAACCACCACAGAAACCCAATGGGGGTTGCTATGAGTTGGAATTGACTCGATGGCAGGGGTTGTGGTTCTTTCTGAAACAGCCAGGCCAAGTGTAAACACGTGTGCCCCTCCCTGGCAATCGGCCTCAGGAACGGAGGGGGCTGCTGTATTTAGTCAGACATATTCACTGGGTGGACTGAACCAACTATGAATTAAGGCCTCAACCTCAGATACTCCGTGAGGTCCCATGCCCGCAGGACCCTGGGCTTCTTTTGGGGCTTCCTACATTGGGGAGAACAGCCTTGAATGGGAGAGGGTGCTGCCCACCCCTGGGTACAATGACAGCCCTGTGCTAGGAGCTCTCCCAGACATTGTCTGGTCTCTTCACTTCTCTCTTTCCTGGTTATAATAACTGGGCAACTGTAAGTATAGGAGGAGCTCTGGTAGGGTAGTAGTTAAAGCATTCATCTACTAACTGAAAGGTTGGTGGTTCAAACCTACCAACTGCTCTGTGGGAGAAAGAAGAGGCAGTCTGTTTCTGTAAAGACTTACAGCCTTGGAAACCCTGTGGGAGCAATTCCACTCTGTCCTCTAGGGGCGCTGTGAGTCAGAATTGACTCCACGGCAGTGGGTGTGGTTTGGGCTTTGCTTCTGTGAAGACTGACAGCCTTGGAAACCCTGTGAGGCAGTTCCACTCTGTCCTCTAAGGGCGCTGTGAGTCAGAATCAACTCCATGGCAATGATTTTTTTTTTTGTAACTAGAGGTAGATTCTGTGAGTTCTGTGAACCATTCCAGCAAATTCTGGATCCTACCGGGAGCCGTGGGAACTAGCAGAGAGGCTGGCAGGACAGGTCCTAACTGGAGACTAGACTCTGGGTGGTTAGGGCCAGAGAGAGAAAGTGCCATGTCTGTGGGCTGGCGTCAGCATGATGAAGTGGGAAAGTGGGGATATGCCTTATCTTCACATTTTGGACACCTGCCTTATGTCGGCTGTTATTCATGCAGGCGTCATCCCTGAGGACCCACCGTGCTCAGCTATTGTGTTTCCTTCCAGCATGTCTGCACTGCCTCCTCTAGGCTGGCCCAGAGGACAATGCAAGCTTAGGAAGGCCTGGCACAATCACTAGGGCCTTGTTTGCCCGGGAACACTCAGGGGCGTTCCTCTTGAAACCTCCAGGGGCCTGGTCTCCTTCAGAGATGAATGCCATAAAGTCCCAGCATGTGGGAGGTCCCTGCTGCACATGTTTGCTGGTTCCCCTCATTTCTCCTGTGGTAGAATCCACTGAAAACCCCATGGGGCAGTGCTACTCTATCCTATAGTGGAATTGAGAATTGGAATCAACTCAACAACAGTGGGTTTTGTGTTTTGGTTTAGGATCCACTGATAAGAGCCAAGCCATAAGGTGAGGTGGTGCGGTGGCCGGTTTCTATGCTTCTGTTCCTATGCGACATGCCAAGAAACAGTGTGTGCAGGCTCACAGCTCAGAGGAGAGAGGTAAAGCTGCACTTTGAGGCAAACACAGAGCCCTGGAAGACGCTCAAGAGCACGGTGACCTTGTACATGACTTACGCTTTGTGAACTTGGACACGCAGGCTCCCCTACCTTGTGACGACGGTGTTCTGGTCGATCCTGGCTTTGAGGTCTTCGTTCTGCTGCTGGAGAACTTGGATCTTTTCTTCCAGGAGAATATTCTTTTCCACCTACAAAGGATGCCACGTTGAAGAGGACTCAGCACAGCCACAGGACAGGGAGTAACCCCTGCCCTCGGCTTCAAGCCTTTACAGAACTCCATAGAACAGTGTTCTCTGTATGCTACAGTTCACAATCCACTCATGGGTTGTAAAGTCACATTAGAGGAACACGATCAGCATTTCTGTGTTAAACAAAACAAAACAGAATAGAAAATACCAGCATAAACTGTATGGAGTAAAGAAATTGTTATGTGGAACTTTCAAACAGATATGTATCTAGCTATCCATCTATACCAAAAACTAAACTCAGTGACTTGACTGCCGTGGAGGTGGATCCGACTCATAGCGATCTCTCCTTGGGTTTCTAAAGTGGTATCTCTATGGAAGTAGATTGCCCAACCTTCCTTCAGAGGAGTGGCTGGTGGGTTTGAACCACCAGCCTTCTGGTTAGCAGTCAGATGCCTTAGGCACTATGCCACTAGGGCTTATATACATATATA